TGTATCTATTGTGTGCTCTTGTATTGTTATGGTTGAAGCTGAAGTATTCACTGACAGGTAGGACATTGCAATGTATGATTTTATATAGTATACTTAGATTGGACAGAAGGCGGTGTAGTTCTAGGTTTTCTAGGTCTAGAATTTCGAGTCTGGTGGCATAAGGTATTCTACAGTGAGTAGAGGAGTGGAGAACTCTTCTTGTGAAATATTTCTGGACTTTCTCAACTGTGCTAATATCAGATATGTAATGTGGGTTCCAGACTGATGAGCTGTATTCGAGTATTGGTCTAGCAAATGTTTTGTATGCTGTGGTTAGTAGTGTGATATTACCAGAGGAAAAAGTTATGTAGGATTAGGTTAACAACTCTTAATGCCTTTTTGGCTATGTAGTTACAGTGGGCTCTAGCACTTAGATCATTAGAGATGAGTATTCCAAGGTCCTTTACAGAGCTTGGATCATCAACAAGGTCTTGACTATTCAGCTTGTATTTTATTTTCTGATTTTTTTTTTGCCAATATGTAAGACAGAGCATTTATTTGTTGAGATTTGAAGTTGCCATTTGTTTGACCATTCTGATACATAGTCAAGGTCTTTTTGAAGGGTAGCAGTATTGTCTGTGGTATTAAATAGCTTTACATCATCAGCGAAAAGAACGCAGTTGCTCTTAATATTTTCACAAATAACTCAAGATGGTGAACATATCCAACATACTTTCTTCCTCCTATTTTCCCCACAGCAACAACCCTGTGAGATGAGTTGTGCAGAAAGAGGCACTGTCCCAAGGTCATCCAACTCGTTTTCATGGCTAAGGCAGGACTTACTGTTGGAATACATGTTGGAATGTATTTTGCATTGCAACAACTACAACAAGTATTCAGCCAGTAGATGGCAGTGTTTACAAGTTTGGATCTATGGTATATACTCTATGTTCTTTTGCTCTAAAGTAGAATTTTTGTTTCCGCTTACAGTTAAACAGTTGAGCAGGAAAGCACATGGTGACTGTACTCTTTGTTTTTCTGTGGTGCTATATATAAACAGAATTTCTAACATGAACTCACAGTCTCTTGCTTTCTAGCTGAGAGTGTCTTAAGTACTAAACCAAATGGAGGATTTTCCATATTCATGGAGGATTAGTCTAGGAAGAGCTTTGAGTCATTATAGATGATACGATGAATGAACAGTAAGCAATCATGGAATGACTGGGGCCTATCACAATGAATTAGTGGCTTGCAAAATCCTCTCAAGTAGAGAAGATTAAATTTTTCATTCTCCTTTTTGTTTAAAGTTCAAAGGAATCTTAAAAGGCAAAATTGGACCCTTTTGGGCATTTCTGTCCCACACATGTGGGGCCTACCTCCCATCTTGCTGGCTCCCCACAGGTCTTCTGCCTGCTTCCCACTCTACTGGGCCCCCCATATGGGAGGGGTGAGGCAGGATCAGGAAGGGGAACCTGCGGCCTCCATATAGTAGAGAGAACTAATTTTAAATGTATATCCAGTTTTGAAATGCTGAGAGATATTCCAGCTGAGGCTGTTTCTAGTTTTTCTTACTAGAGGGTGGTGAGACCATATTATAAGCTATTTGTGGGATCTCTAGAGAAAAAGCTTGATAGAATCGTAATAAAAATTGGATTGTGGCTCCAAATAAAATTGCAATTACTTCATTTTGTGTAAGTTACAACGCTCAACCTTCGTTTTGTCATCTTATTGTTTTAACCAGTAATCTATCAACGTTTTTTTTTAAAGCACTTTATTTTAATGAACAGCATTTTGTTAACTAAGTTGATCACTTCAAATAGCACGAGGTATTATTTTTTTTTGGCCAAAAACAAAGAAGGGGAAAAGTTACAGACGTCATTTCTGGCGTGGGCTTTAAGCTGCTGGATTGCATCCTTTTGCAGCTGACGACCAGAAAACTGTTAACAGATGCAGCCAGTCTTGTATCATCGCAAACATTAGGGTGTGTGCAAACTGACAAAACACTGAAATTAATTAGGCTTGAATTCTTTTATTTGGCGAGATGTGATCTCCTCTGGTCACGCACAAGGATGTGTGCATTTCCTTCTGACTAGCACAGGAAAAGTCAAATCTATCTGATCGACTGAAAAGCTTTTATCGCAATCTCTCGTGCTGAAAGATTGAAATGGCCCCTTTGGCTGCAGCAAGTAACTATCGTACAACTTGTTGAAATGCTTTAGACAATTTCAGTTCTTCTAGTCCATCCCACGCTCAAGCAGGAGGACCTATTCCAGGCAAATGGCTGTCCAATCTCTTCTTAAAAAGCCTCCAGTCCTGGAGCATCCACAACTTCTGGAGGCAAGTTGTTCCACTGATTAATTGTTCTTTTTTATGTATACTGAGAGCATTTGCACCAAGACAAATTGCTTGTGTGTCCAATCACACTTAGCCAATAAAGAATTCTATTCTATTCTATTCTATTCTATTCTATTCTA